GTATTTAAATCACAATGAAATACAATTTACAGATAATATACTCGTACAAGGACAATTATTCTGTGAACCATGCATCTATGGCAAACAGCATAAGGAAACGTTCACTTAGAGCGAAACAATAACTACTGAACCAGGGCAAATAATACATACCGACGTATGTGGACCCATGGAAGAGAATTCTTTAGGAGGTAATAGATATTTTATTATATTTAAAGATGATTATTCAAAATATACTTATGTCTATTTTATGTAACATAAATCTGAGGTTAAAGAAAAACTTAATTGTTTTCTAAGTATGGTTAAAACTCAAACTAAAAATGTTATTAAAACTATTAGAAGTGACTGTGGTTCAGAGTATAAAAATTCCGAAGTTCAAGCAATTCTAAATCATCTTGGTAAAAAGCATGAAACAAGTATACCTTATACTCCTCAACAAAATGGAACAGCTGAGCGTTCAATGAGGACTAAGGTTCAATGAGGCAGCCAGAACAATGATTTATGCCAAGAATTTTCCAAAGTCACTGTGGGCAGAAGCAGTCAATACAGTAGTGTCCTCATTAAATTATACTGGTAATTCAAGGAAAGCATGTAAAACTCCATACGTGTTGTGGTTTGATAAACTTCCTAAAATAGAAAGGTTCATAGAATTTGGAATAAATGCATATAGTTTAGTTCCAAGACAACGACGAAAGAAGTGGGATGCAAACAGCAGAAAAGGATATTTTGTCGGATATTCAGAAATTTCAAAAGAGTATCGTATTTGGTATAAAGAAAATAACGAGGTGTCACTTAGTAGAGACATCATTTTCAAAGATGAAATTTTTGTAAATGACCTATTTTTAGAATGTTCTAATAATTTAAATGATAGTAATAGCATTGATGTTMTTAGCTTACACAAAGACGGCTCATTAGAACACAATAATAAATCAGAAGGAGATGGACTCATGGAAAATGAATTTGAACCAATACGTGAAGATAACAACGAAAATAAAGAACATGAACAAGGAAATGGATCAAATGTTAGTGTGTATAACTTGCGAGACAGAAGTAATATTAAGAAACCATTACGTTATGATAATTCAGCCTTTTTTGTAGTTGAATCTGATCCAGTGGATTTCAAGGAAGCTTTGTGGTCACGAAATTCAGAAAAATTGATAGAAGCCATGAAAAACGAAATGGAATCTCTTGAACAAAATGGAACATGGTCACTCGTAAATTTACCCAAGAACAGAACTATTGTAAATTGTGGTTGGGTGTATAAAACAAAATTTAATGTTCATGGACATGTTTATCGATACAAGGCTAGGCTAGTAGTAAAAGGGTATATTCAAATATTCGGTATTGATTTTAATGAAACATTTAGTCCCGTGGTAAAGTTCGAATCAATTCGGTCCATATTAGCTATATCAGCAGCAGAACAATTACAACTTCGACAATTTGACGTTAAAACAGCCTTTTTATATGGAGATTTGGACRAAGAAATTTATATGCGTCAACCAGAAGGGTTCAACGATGGTACAGAAAAGRTATGCAGACTTCAACGCAGCTTATATGGTCTAAAGCAGTCACCACGAAGTTGGAACAMAAAATTCAAAAAATTTCTTCTTAACTTTAATCTATTAGAAACAAAAGCAGATCCCTGTGTTTTTGTTAACAGAGAAAATAACAAAGTATTAATTGTCGCTATATATTTTATTGATGATGGTCTAATTGCAGYTACATCGGTTCAGGATGTAAATGCATTAATAAAATATTTGAGACAACATTTCAATATTACCGAAGGAAAATTTAATCAATTTTTAGGTACAAAAATTGAGAAAATATCTGATGGATCAATTGTAATGCACCAAAGGTTGTATTGTAAAAGAATATTGAAAAAGTTCAATATGACTGAAGCAAAACCAGTTCAAATACCAGCAGACCCCCAACATTCCTTAGATGACAAGCAACAAATTACTAATCTAACTAATAATGTACCATATCGTGAAGCAGTCGGGAGCTTATTATATCTTAGTCAGATTACAAGACCAGACATAACATTTTCAGTAAATCTAGTTAGTAAATACATTGAGGGAACTATTCATTTTGGATTGATATTTAGTTCTAGACAAAAACTCGTGTTAAAGGGATACAATGATGCTGACTATGCAGGCGACTTGGAAACAAGAAGGTCAGGGTRAGTGTTTACATTGGGATCTGGAAGTATAACATGGGGTTCACGTCGTCAACAGTGTGTTAGCCTTAGCACAACTGAATCAGAGTACATAGCCTTAAGTCAAGCAGTACAAGAATTAACTTGGTTAAAATTGTTTTTAGGTGAATTGCTGGACCAGCCGAAATTGGTGCCAACAATGTATGGAGACAATCAGAGTGCGATCAAACTCGTCAAAAATCCAGAGTTTCATAGAAGAACGAATCACATAGATGTTCGCCACCACTGTATAAGAGAAAAGTTCAATGAGGGATTGTTTTCATTGGAGTACATATCCAGAAAAGAGCAGATTGCAGACATTATGACAAAGCCAATTCTAAGAACGCGGTTCAATGAACTAAGGGAGATGTTAGGAGTGGCGAGACCGTTTTCGACTAAAAACGTACCTTTCCCTTTTCGGCCAATTCACTTTTCGACCAAATTTAAAAAAGACTGATTCCCTTTTCGGCCAAACCAAAAATTTATATAATATATGTAAAAAAAATAAAATAATTGCTGCTATATAATATAGTTTTTATAAGTTGCATATATGTTGTAAAATAACAATATTCGTAAAAATACAATTCGTGACAAAATTATTTACAAAACGATATTAATTTTACACACACACTAAAAATTATCCCTATTATTTCATTTATTTAAATTTTTGAAGGTTTTTCAAATCGAATTCAAATTTCTTGGTACTATTCAGTACCAACTTATACTTTTAATAATTTTTCACTATTACATAATTATACAATTGCCATAATTTTACAAAAAAATTTGCTTTTGGTCGAAAAGGGAATCAGTCTTTTTTTAAATTTGGTCGAAAAGTGAATCGGCCGAAAAGGGAAGGGTACGATTTTGGTCGAAAAGGAATCAATCTTTTTTAAATTTGGTCGAAAAGTGAATCGGCCGAAAAAGGAAGGGTACGTTTTTGATCGAAAACGGCTATGCCGGTTAGGAGTTATAAATATTGATGTAGGGTATATTGTTTAAGGGAAAGTGTTGGAATTATAAACAAAACACCCTATATCATGTAGTATATAAGTAATATGTTCACTCTGTAGTTCAGCAGACGCTGACTATACATTTTTATAATACTATAACAAATATGTYTTGTGTACCTAGCTGGTATACACAGTTAGTCGTTGATTTATATTACGCCTCATAACAATATTGTACATCGTATCATTAAACTTATTACTATACTATTTATGTCCTATCTTATTATTTACCTTTAGCTTCTGTATAATATCTGTGTACTTCAACAATTGCTCTACATGAATTTACGTCTAAGTTACCAAACCTATAAAATCAACAGGGTTTCGATTCCAGTTTTATTTTTCAGTATATTTCGGATTGAAACTTTTCATGATTTCTTAGTTTAGGTACGATTATAAAATATTATTACTTACTTATTTATTTTATAATGTTTCTATTTAAGATCAAAACAAGACTTATAGGTACAACTAGAATTAAAAGCATAATACATATATTTATTTCATTATCATTTATTTAGAATAAAAACATAATACTGCATACCTAATATATATTTTACTGACGTTAATTGTGTAGGTACGGAGATGCAATCAAAGAAAAATTAATTTTAATATGAACATAGGTAAAGTTCATAAAATCAAAATGAAATGTACAATGAGATCAAAAAACCTACAAATCAAAATATATTTCAATTTCAAATTAATTTAACAAAAAAAAAAATGAAATAATGCTTGATTAGTGGCATGTCTTGCCCTGCTATATCCTGTGGTACGCAATTTTTTTCTTAAAATTTTCAATTTATATTCAGTCTCTTAATCTAAATAGAGTTAGTCTGCCTCGAAGGCAGTTCATGCACAATTTCTTAGATGTTTTTAAAACCGTTTAAGCTCCAAGTAGAAACAAAATTCGTTATCACCGCAATAATTCTATGTTAGATCATAATATTGCACCTATAAAATTATTTGTAATAGAAAACTATGTTTAAAATATAGGTTCTTAGTGTCAAGGGGGAGAGGAGGGGCATATGGCTGATTTTTTAAAACTATTTAATCATCAAAAATTCAATATTAGAGTCTACACCACCTCACCTCCTCTTCACCCTTTTACCAACAATGCACCTCGTACATCTATTATTCCATTTTCAGAAATGAACACAAAATATTCTTCAATTATAAGTGAATTTAAATTCTCAGATGTTAGATACTATCTAGTAGGTATCGGGCGTGATAATCAAAAAATATTTTGAGAATTAATGACTTTTACGAGTATATATTATTTTATTTATGTATTTTATTTTTTGAATTTAAGTTTCTATGCATAGAAAGTTTCATCGATGTGTATCTCCTTTCCTTTCAGTTTCTTATCGGATTTTTATAATTTTTGCATGGAAAAGTCTTACAATAAATATTCCTAGAAGACTTTAAAAGTATTATGTTTTCGTATCTGATAGTCATAATAATTGTAATATAAGGAGTGCAAGAAAAAAAAGAATTTCAAGCGATGTGATAATAGTTATAATTATTTTTTACTTAATGATAAAGTTTTTACCATTGTCACTTGCATGCGTGAAAAAGCATAATAAATGTATACCCAAAAATAATTTGAGGCACCCATAAATTGTGCATTGATCGTACGTAATATTAGACTTGACGTTACACACGCCATTATGTATCGATATCATATTAATATATTATTGTATACGTCGTGATGACAATGTAAAACTGCACTAAAACACTATTCGTTGATCATACATAAATATAGATATAATTCTATCGAACGAATGGTCTACAATTATTTCAAGATGCGCTCACAACCTGCATCGCGATGCACTCACCAGCACGTAGACGGCGAACGGCATGACCACGAGGGCGACCAGCARATCGGCCAGCGCCAGGCTGACGATAAAATAATTGGTGACTGACTGCAGGGCCCGTTCCCGGCACACGCTGATAATTACCAGCATGTTACCGAACAGCGTGAGTATTGGGAACACGACCAATCCGAGCGCCCAATAGTTCTTGACGATGACGACGACGGGCTCCTCGTAACAGCCAGTGGCGTTGTTGAACACGGACGACGGCGACACGGGGAACGCGGAACAGTTGCCGTCGTCGGAATATTCGTCCGTATAATTAAAGCCACCTACTTCGGAGCCGCCGGTACCGTTGCCATACATCGCCACCGCCACGGCCGTCCGTTGGGCCACMGCCGCAGCGGCCGCGGTAGCCGCCCGGTAAGCGAGCAGCTCACCCGTGGTCGTCGCGATCGCGACCTGCAGCAGGCGCCGCCGCCGCAGCAGCAGCSGCAACCACGTCACGTGGTCGCCGGTGCGGCCGGCTGCGGTGACGCCGCCGGATGACGACGGTCGACGTGCGTCGGACGAGCGTCAGTCATCGTCCGCGGTGTCGAAACGCCGGACCGGTAGACGGCTAAGCGGGATCGTCGTAATGTGAAAGGGAAGATCGCAACGAACACCCGCGGAAACCGTAAACACCCACTGAACCCACAACACGGACCACCCCACCCACCTGGATCGCGACAACACTGTACGAACAATAACAACGACAAAAAAAATATAATAATAACAATAACAATAATATTATGATATACGGTATCGGAGAACACGCGACTCACCGGCGTCGTCTATATAGGTAGTACGACGATAATATGATCGTGGGTGGTGACGAACGAAATCGTCCGCTTTTCCGCACACAACGCGCGCGTTCCGTCGACTGATGGTGGTCGTGTCGCCCGCGAGAACGGASGCCGCCGCGTTAACGCTTACGGCGATCGTGGCGGAGGGTAGCGCGCGCGCGCTTTCGTTCACCCGCTCGGCGTTTCGCTCGTCCCGTAGTCGCGGTGGCGGCACAACGCTCGCCGCCGACCCGCCGTTAATTATCAACTTTCCGGCCATGCACACACCGGTGGTATTCATCGCCACCGGATATTATCGCCGTACGTTTAAGTTCTGCCACCCACCATGCCGTTCCACCGGCTGTCCGTCCGTCAACCGCTGCCGGCCGCGATTGAGTTATTGCGCACCGTCAGCGGCGGCGACGGTGGCGTCGGCATCGGACTCAAACTGTTGTTATTGTTATTTGCGTTGTGAATGCGACATAACGGTGAAGGTATAATGGTGGTGGCGCTGTCGTACTTGCGCCGGCTTTGGTGAGCTGCAAGTTAAGGAGTGACAATGCAATACGGACAGCCACCTAAAAGCGTCAGCAACAGACCATCTAAAAGTGACAACAGCAGACGAACTAATTTCGTAGACTACATATTATGTAATATTGTTGTATAATATTATGCACCTTTCGTTAAAATACCAACCCTCGAATGGCTCAAAGTCATAAATTAACCAGTTGTAGTTTGGTTCTGTGTAGAGCGAGTTTGTAAGGGCTACTTTACTTTAAACACTCTTTTCTCCTCAAATACCATAAATTAACCAGTTTTAGATTGGACTCAAAGAAAATATTTGAATAGTATGGTTACACAACCGTGAAAAATATACACTAGAAAAGTGGTATCCACTTGGTATTACCAAATATCGTACATGCACTCATTCCCATTACACAGCGAATATTTGTTGAATACACAAATCATGAGAACATAACCTAATACCGTCATAATGTCTACCGCGGTATTCGATTCTAATGCCGTAAACTCAAAGATGACTTTTTCTTTAGAAATTCGTATTATAATTGAATAGTGACAAAATTATCAATTATTGTCTCATACACGAAATTTAATTAGCTAGGTACCTTCTGGCAGCTACTGTAGTTATAATAAACTGTTTGTACAGTATATCAATATAATATACGATTATAMAACAGTATAATATTGTATATTATAAATTATGATAATACAGGAGATACCTCTATGATACCTATTTCGTATGGAAAACTGGACACCAAAACTTATTATTCCAAACCGTCGCGCACTGAAATCGTATTCTATTCGGCGTGCCCCGAGAGATAGAGTGTATAATAATGTGCACATAATAATAATATTAATATTATTATGACGACGGTCGAGACGGGTGAAAAAATAAAATACGAAAATCTGAGTGTGTATATAGTATATATACGAGCACATCAAGCTCATATAAATAAAATAAAATAAAATAAATATAATATAAACTCACATCACATCACATCGTGACCGACCAAAGAACATCACTATGTAATATGTGACCACAGATTTATATATTATATACATATATGTGTGTGTAGTTTGGTATTATAGAATTTTTTGAATGCAACAAGCAGTGGTTGGACAATATCTAAGTGCTTATATATAAATACATTGTTATCATATTTAGTCATATATAGACACGTATGTCCACAACATTGTCCGTTTAACATAATAACATTATTGTCGTACATACCTCAAATATTATAAAGTGCTGCAGGTGATTAATTTGAGAATTATCTAAAATAATGATGTCAAGAAAATTATCTGCGAGACTTGGAAAGTATTGTGGTTATTATAGAACGTTACCGCAATTACCAGAATGCGTTAGGTGTCCTTCCAGCCGTTGTCATCAGCATCAGGTACTGTGTTTCTAAACACACGAACATTTATTTTACCGGGGAGTCAATGCTAATGATTATGTTTTGTTGAAAAAAGTGTTTGTATGAGATATTATTGAAGTTAGTTGTTCTACTTGTTTTGTCCTTAAACGATAGTTACTGTGCGATAAATATCTGATGGTTCATCAATCGATAAACACGTGAAAGAACCGAAATCATATAAATAAAATGTCACTGAACAGGTTTTAATCTAAATTACCTTTATTTGACAACAGGGTAGGTAATATTTACTACAATATACGCGTTTCGCGTGTGCATAACTTTAAAAACAAAGAAACGTTTAGCAAATTAACGTCAGTAACAATAAATTACACGCAGTCACGCATAATTTTGTTTGAGCCATTCTCAATCCACACGGGCCCTAAAACAGTTGTTTTTATATTTAGTTACAAAACGGTATGCACCAGGCGCCAAGAAGTCTGTGTGGCACAGTGTGAACGCTAGTTGAATCATATAACTTAAAAATCTATTATAATAATATGCATTTGAATTATACAGRGTGTCCCACGAAGTTCTGACAAATGAAATAATTTATATTCTAATCAATATTTTTTCATTTTTATTTTTATATATAACCAATAGACTCTGGTATTATGTGTATAATATAAACTTTATTGTTTTTTTTTTTTTTTTGTACAGAAAATAAAAAATTTAAATTGTTTTAATTCAAAATAGCCATTTTATAAGCACATTAAAAAAATTGATTTAACATTTACAGTATTTAATTTGAGTAATCCGTTGGCGACTTATTTACGTTTAAATATTCGTTAAATTTACTACTAATAATAAATTTACTACTTACTTTATTATACCCAACAATAAAAACCAGAAGTCAAAATGAACCGTAGATAACTATTTTATTCTGTGGTTTTATCAAAAGCGATTATCGGTTATCTGGTATAGGTACGTTCTCATAATACGGGTAACCTTGGATTTAACATCAAGATGGTGTGAGTAAACCTTTTCATATTTTTCGGAGGTTCAGACTTTAGATCGTAAGTAAACAAGACCCCAATCAGCTGATCGAGTTTTGCACATCAAGCATGTACGTTATTCTTTTTTCAGCGTTGAAAAAATCTAACTAAGTCATATTGTTATCCTTGTTATTTTTAATAGATTCACCAACGTCTAAAAAAAATCCATTATTATTTAAATTAAATAACTAACAAAAAAAGAATGGGCAATATGTACCTTTCAATGCAGAAATCTAAACAAGTTATGTAACAAGAAATACAACAGAAATATGTACCAAAAGTTGTTCCATTTTTACAATACCATTTTTTGTTCAAAAATAACTAWCCAGTGACCACCACCATATTTAGTTGGACTTCAATATTACTGTAATTATAACAGCTATTCATCCAGCAAGTAAATCATATTACCTACTCAAGTACTCCTAAAAAAATCATACGGAAAATTCGAGAGAACTTGAATCATGAAACCTTTCCGATAAATCGTAGCAATTTTAATGAAAACTGTTGAGTGTTTATACATTAATGTTTAACGGTGTTAATGTTGTATAATGCTCAATTTGCCTGAACTTGAAGAGAATGATTTTTACAGATATCTCATGAAAATTATAAAAAATACCAACTACCTAGATGATAAAGTGCTATGATAAAATAAAATTAGTTAATTATTAAACCAAGAATGGTAAGGTTAGACTTATACGTACTAATGTCAAAAAAAAATTTGCTTCAACCTGTAAGTACATATAGATGAATTAAATATCCATTTATTAATAATATTAAATAATCTAATACATAATACATAATATTATTAATAATAATTAAATTGTATTTTAATGTCGTAGATAGTTTCATAAAATAAGGTCCAATTAGTTGATTATTAAAGTACTTTACATACATTGGGGCCTATTGATTTGGTCCATTCCAGTAATGATAGTTAGGTATGTTTCATCAGTGAATTTATATTATTTTCATGACTATTTTGTACTTCCAAATTGGATTATAAGAAAACAATAGTAAAATACCTTGTTGTTAAATGTAAGTTTATCTATCTAACTTTGAACTTAGTACTTTATACATTTTAATATTAGTAAGTTTTAATACCATTTCAGAACTTTGATCGTAGACTAATAATACAGAATATGATTTATAACTAATTTTTATAGAGTTGTTGTGTTCCAATTATCACGTYATGATGAAACTATGAAAATTAAATATGTAAACATTTACGTATTCTATTTACACAATTTATTATTTTAGTGCAAATGAATTGCTATTACACTTAGTACAAATAATACCAACATCAACATTCTAAAATGTAAGTTAATGAATTTAAATACTATTAATTTATTTTTAATATTTAATAGTAGGGAATAAGTTTTAATTATTTTTCAGATTATCAATTTTAATATTTGAAATAATTATGAATGTTTTGATATAATTATTCAAATTCAAAAATYAATATGTTGTCATCATTAATTTATGTAATGAAAATTTTATAAAATTAACTTAAGTTAAAACATTATAGCTATAGTTATTTTTATAGTTTTATTTTTTTATTTTTTACTAATTATATTATGTTAATGTAGTGCTGTAGTGGATAAGTAATTCTAATCTAAATAGTTGAAGAGATGCATTTTGGTACTAAACTTATTTACAAAAAAA